AGCCAAATTCAGAAACCTGGCCTGTTTAAATAATTTTTCTTGCATTGGGAGTCTGTACAAACCTTACAGGCTGTGATGTGAAATCCTAGTCCCACAGCTGGGCAGACTTTTGTTGCTAAGCTAGGCATTTAATGAGTCCTTACATACACAGAGAGACTTAAACTCCTCTAGATTATACCTGATTTTCTGATGATGCAATTTGTTTGTAGGAGAACACCTTCCTTCAAAATCAAACCAGAGAGAGAGTCTGCAGAATTTTCCAGAGATTTTAAGGAAGATGGACCTACAGTGACACAAGCCACAATCACTACCCTAAGCCTAGAACAAAGTGGAAATAAAACAAAACGGCTTCCCTCTCTACTAAAAGCAGGAAGAGAAAAATGACATTTGCCTCAATGAACTCCAGACAATTATAACTTAACTCAGCCCTCTTGAAATGTAGTAATATATTTTAAATTAATCATTTCCCTCTTAACTTTTAAAAGTATGTATTTAATCTCATAAAATCTTTAAATATAATTAATCAGGATTGCATCTGGTATACCTTTGTGTGTACAATGACTTTGTCATTTGCCATTATTACCCAGTGTTATCTACTCCAAGGTATTAAATCCAAGGGCAGGGGGACCTTTAAGCCAGACTGCTCACATGAAATGATTCTGTGAGACAGGAATGGGGAGCAGTGAGCAGAGCATGAGTGCATCTGTGAGTTAACCACAGCCATGTGCAAGTAGATTTGCAGATACCAACAGAATAGATTTACGAGGCTTGGGTGGTCTGTGCAGCCAAAGATAATGTTATATACTTCCTACAGCACTTTGTGGTCTCCACAATCTTTTTTACAACACATTAACCAACCATTCTCTATTTGCCAATCCTTTCTGGATGAAGCTACCAGGGAAAAAAAAGTCCTGCAGTGTTACTCATTTTTAATGGAAACTGAAACTTAAATAAGGCATGAACAATCAGTGTTTCAGTGTAAAAGGAGAAGAAAAGTGAGATAGCAAGAAGGAATTCTAGTCCCCAGACAGGAAGCTTCACATGCTAAGGTATAGTGTGATCATAGGGAAGAATATCTATATTTTCCCCCTACCTATCTGTTTCTGAGCCAAAGAAAATTTACCTAGCATGAAGCTGGAGAGAAATGGCATTTTTTTTCCCCCAGGACAGTGTAGGGCTGGCAGCTCTTCCCTGACAGGTGGAAGCCAAAACTTCAAGTCCTTAACTCCTCTCACAAGGACTTCAGCCTTCATCCCTTTTTACACAGACTGAAGCATCACTCTTGCTCTCTGCTTGCAATCCTCTCCTCTGCACTGACTACTTCTCCAGTGGTAGGGGAGGGGAGCACTTTACACTGAGTTTATGTAAATACTTTATGGGCACATGCAACATCTAGAACTTAAATTTTTTTTCTGTCTGATTCAGATCAGTCACAGGCATCCAATAGGTGAACTAATAATTTCATTTTTTTGGCTAGTCCATCGCTCTCTGTTTACCCCAGCTGGAGCTGCTGCCTGTCACGAAACACAAAAACCCAGCACATCAAAGTAAGTAATGGGAAACTGATGCATTTCATTATTGTTGACCATTTTTAACTGATTAAAAACAAAACAAAAAAAAACCAAAAAAAAACAACAACAAAAAAAAAAAAAAAAAAAAAAAAAAAAAAAAAAAAAAAAAAAAACAAAAAACAAAAAACCATCAGCTTCAGTATTTTAAACTTACCATTTAATTGAACAAAGATCTGCCTTAGCTGTGGCTCAGTACAGCTGTCTCCCCGCCTTTTGCCAGTCCACTGAAGAGGGTATTACCCCAGGAGATAAATTTTATTCCAGGTTCTCCATACCTTTGTAAGCCAGCAGATCTTCTCCCAGATTTCTTCCATTCAATCTCGAGACAACTGAAAGCCCTGTGAAGTTCTCAGCAAGCATTTAGCATAAGTAGAGCTCATACACCTGGAAAAGCCTTGTTTTGTGTTTAAGTGCATAAAGACTTTCATGGGCCTGGTGCTCTTTTGCAATATTTTATTTTTAATTAATATATTATTAAACAGTTACAAGACACAAGCAAGTGATTTCTATGAAGAGTAGGTAATAGTCATAAGAACAGTCTCATTTCTTTTGTGTTTGGCAGCAGATAGCAAGCTCTGTATTTTTGGGGGTTTTCCAGCAAAATGTTCATCAGAGAGCAGAGATCTGGAGTGCATTTCAGATAAGGTTTTTGGCAGGCATGCATCCATCTTCAGTGGTTAAGCAAACACAACACCAGATCAGCAAGGCCTGGTTTATAAGTATGGCATGTGCCTTTTTTTGGTGAGATGCAGAGAGAGGCAGATTTCTCCTGGAAGTGCCTGCTTTGGTTTGCATGCACTCTGTTCAGTCACAGCACAACGTGTGGTACTAGGCCAGGCAAGAATGGGGCCAAGGAAAAAAACAAAACCATAGCCTCTGAGGAACAACCACACAAAATTTCAGAGGCTCTCAGACTCCCTGTTTTCCCTACAGGGAACAAGGACCAGTCCTGATCAGCCTTATGAAATTACACCTTGTATTTCTGTGGTCTGGGGGCAGTGCAAATCAGCATGCTCAGAACCCGAGCTCAGGAGTGCTTTGAGGGAGAACCTGTGCCAGCCACCACTTCCCACAGACTGCACAGAACAGACTGTGCAAGGGGTAGGTCCCTCCAGCTGCAGAGCTCTCCAGCAGCCTCTGTCCTCACAAATGCCCTCCAGGTCCTCCTACTACACCATCAAGCCAGCAACACACTCCTTCAATGTCACAGAATCGTTTGGGTTGGACCATCCAGTCCAACTGTTAACTCAGCACTGCTCTGTCCACCACTAAATTGTGTTCCCATATGCCACGCCCACATCATGTTATAAAAAGTAAAAAGCAACCAAAATGAAACCAAAAGGCTCTCTGACGGGCAGTGATACAGCCCTCACATAATTTCAGGCTCTGAAATGCAAAAATATATTTGAAAAAGCTATTATAACTTAAGGCTACAGAGGCACCACAGGGGGCACCAAGGAAATGAAGGGGCACAGGCCTGGCTGTGCCTCTGGCTGCAAGATTAGACAGCAGTTCCCAACCTGATTTTAAGTGTTGGCAAAACCTCTGGACAGTTCTCCCAGCAGAGTCACACCTGTCCACACCCACAGCTCCCTCTCTCCCACCCTCCCTTTGCAACAGGATTTAACAATCCCTCAGAACAGTAATTCCCCACCAGCTGGGGGTTACCTCAAAACCTTGTGGTTTTGTGGCTCCTTCACATTTTACTGGGCCTTTCTCACTATATCAGCAGCACTATGAATGCACCAAACATGCTCCAATTATTAGTCTGTGGAGCATTTTGAAAGACCCAATTTTGTCAGTGTGGCTGAGCTGCCTTGCTGCTGGGCACGTGCTGCCAGGGTTCACAAGGGTTACATGTTGTTCTCTGTAGCTCATGGACACAACAGCAATACCTTTTTGCTGCAGCAGAGCTTTCTAGGACCAGCCAGAGGAGCATAGAAATGCTGCACACCCCGTGCACATGTGTGCACAGAGCCATGTGGGCTTGTGTGTGCCACACAGTGCTGGGCCACGACATGCTGCTCTCCTGTGCAAAGGTAACAGATCCAGCTGGATCAACTCCCAACTCAAAATGGCTCTTTATGTTTTGTCTTGCAGCCAGTATCTGATTAGTTCTTAACTTCTCACGATCTGAATCCCGAGGTAAGGTTGCATTCCAGCTGTTAAGACTCCTCAGTTCTGGATGGTGTTCAGCAAGTAAACACTGTACAAGAAGCATTGCTGAGCCTCAGCCATTGCCATTGCAGCAGAAGCAGCATTTAGTAGATTCAGGCTTCGGGCAATCAAGTATTTTGTAAATGTTTTCTCTTTGAACTTCAATATTGTCTGTGTATACCAAAAAGACAGACCCCCTCTTTCTCGTTCTTTGTTTGATTTTCGATTTCAATACAACTAATTGTAGATCTCAAGTAAATTTCCAACACAAGAAATATGTAAGATTTTCCTTAGAAGTCCTGATGAATATGTGTTTGGAAAAAATAATCCAGAAGCAGATCCAAATCCTTCAGTGTAAAGAAGTCTGCAAACTTCTCCAACTTCTGTGAAGCTCTGTTTTATATTGCTTAGCATCCCTCCCTATGATCTTTTTAAACTAGTGGAGGGCTATAAAGATGTTCCAAGCTTCTAGCTCAAGGCAAAGTCTCTCACTGCATTCCAAAGCAAATGAAAACCAGGTGTCATTTTCCAAATATTTTCCACCAGCATGGAAGAACATGTGTGTCCTATTTTTTAAATTTGTGCTCTATTTTATGTAGCACCTATTAAAAATACTTTGCCTGTGATGTTAGAGGTAGAAGACTATAAAGGGAAAAATCTTCTGCGTGTGCAAATGCAATGGCTCTGCACTCTGTTGATGAGTTATGTTGTCCTACATTCAGTTTACATCTGTAAGGAGAACCAGTTTACATCTCAGTCACGATCACTAAATTAAATGTATTTGAGTGTATTCTAATTATTCCTCTCAAGCTTCTGCTATGAAAAACTTGTTTCAGGCTCTTGACATTTTAATCCATAAAGGCACTGCTGATGTAAATGTGCTTTATGCAGAACTTTTCCTGCAGCCAATGCTCAAAGGAGCTGTGCTCACTCACTGTTGCTACTGCCCTCTCTTTTGAAATGTAACCGCCCCCTTGGTGATAGTCTGGAGCAGCATTTCTGTGCCAAAGTCTTGCAGGGGAATGGAAAAAAGAGTAACTTCTAAATCAGCAAGGGGAATAGGCCAGACAGAGTGCAATTGTCCACACTCCAGTCTGGCTGCTTTTCACATATATATGCCTGACTTCAAAGCCGAGCCCACCAATTCAGTACAAATTCTAGTTGCTCAGCCTATCTGAAAATCTGGACATCACTGAATGCAAATGGCCAGGACTTGATCTGTAATCAAGTATTGAAAGGACACCAGCAATGGGCTCAGGGCTGAAGGGACAGGCTCATACAAAGACCTTTCACCACCACCATATACTGTAACATCAAGGAGATCCTGGGAGGTCTCTGCCTACCAGGACCCTAATTTCTTAACAAGTAAGACCACATTGTGAGACCCTTATGGTCTGAAAATGTGGGGAAAGGAGATAAAATAAACCCTTCTGGAAAGCTGGGAGCCTGAACACGGCAAGGTGAGAAATGTACAGGTTTTGTCAGTTTTTTGCAAATGATGAACACTGTGATATGTTGTAACGTGACTGTGGTGTGTTGCAATGTGCTGCCATAGCCTTCAGAGGGGAACAGTGCAAAAACCCAGCTTAGGGGTATCCATAGTAGCTGGAGAAATTCCCAGTCCTTCTGCTTTTCTTTCGTTCTACAGCACTCCTGATTGCCTGGAGGAGCAGGTCCTTGTTATTGAGGATGTTGTATTTGCTCAGGTTCACAAGTTTATCAAAATTTTCAGAGGAGTAAATTAGCCTAATGAGGTAGTATGGTGAGCAGTTGTTCTCCAGATTTACTTTGCCTTCTTCCATCTCTGAGTGACCACGCTTCACCCCTGCAGAGAAAGACAAAAGCCACCACAGTCACATGATTCTGGAGTACAGTGTTGAAGGGGACTGATCTACTTGGCAGGACCCACTGTTAAAAACAGCCCCCAGGAAATACTGCAAACCCACTCCATGGCTTCAAAGAGCCATTTCTGGTGTATTTTCCCAGTTACTCCTCCTTCCCCTCCTGCCAAAGCTCAGACCTGGAAATCACTCAGCAGAGCTGGCTCAAATTCTTACATTCCTCCTTGTCCTGCCCCTGCAGACATCATTCCTAGGCAGCACACCCATGGGTACACATCCATTCCCAAACCCTGTAAGTCTGATTCTCAGACAAAGACACACACCTGGAATACTTTTCAAAATCCATGACTGCCCCTGGATTAGTGGTGACAAGTGCATGTCTGCCAGCTAGAGTGAGTGGACAGCCTAGTACATACAAGGAGACCTGGTGATGCCAACCACACAGGACTGCCTGTTGCAGAGTGCAGAGGGACCACAGCATCCAACATCAAACTCTCAGCAAACTCCAGCCTGGCCTCAGGTTATGCCTCTTGGAAATGGCAACATCTATACACCCTGTCACATCAATGCTTTTGCTTAGAAGGACCCCCTAATTACCTGCACCAAGCTCTTTGGCAGTCTCATATTTACGTTTCTACAAATTTTTTTGCTTCATTTCTTTGCTTTTTTTGCCTATCTCCTTGCAGAGATAGGCAGATGGTCTGAACCAAATATGCCCAAAACATTCATGTAATGTGAGATGACTATCAGCAGGGCTACAAACAGATTGATGATCTATTCCTTATGATTTCAACCAGAATCTCATGAAAGACACAAGAATTGTGCTTGAGACACAGCAGGTGTTAGTCTGACCTAGTGGTTTCTGAACAGCGTGATCTCAGCATGCTAGGCACAGACTACTGCAAGAAGTGGCTGAATTAAAAATATCCAATGTTGCTTCACTGAGCCTCCTAATACTCAGACAGATGTGCTATCTATGCTGTCCACATCCAGATAAAGCTGCATCTGCCTCAAGCACACCAAAGCACAGTCCATAACTGCTGCATTGCAAATGGGCATTTCACAGGCTGAGTCCCTTTAGAATTTAAATAGTTAAAAATAAGAAAAATAACTACCCACATTCCACAAGATGTCTCTCATCCCCCTAGAAACAAAAAGCTCCACTGTTGAACTTGAAATCCATGAGAGCAGGTTGCCAAGGACCCCCTCCTCCAACCACCCACATCAGCTGCTGGTTGTCAGCTTGATGGATGAATCAGCGGCTGCTGAGACACGCAGGTGAGTGTCAGAGCTCACCAGTTTGGGCCTGGAGCACAGAGAACTGGCAACAGCTGCTCTGCAGCATCTCATCTATTTTTCATTCAGAGAGATTCCAAAATCTTCACCTGCTTTACCTGCCACCCACTGCTCACCCCACATTGCCACTTGGACCATTTCCAGTCTCCACTGAACAAACCTAGCTCCCTCTACAGAGTATCTCCTCTTTTCATCCACTAAGTTTCTGAATGTGATTTTCTTGATTTAGTTCTTACTGCACATATTCACTGAATATCAGAGCAGAAAAGTACCTTTACTTTTTGCTGCTATTCCTACCTTTCCCAAATGCTCCCTCAGAGACTTCCATTTTGCTCTGGTCACACTATGGGCCCCAATAGAATTTTGGGTAAAGCTGGAAGGAGCTCACCCCAGGCACCTCCCTCTCCACCACAGGCAGCCTGGGGCAGCCTGGGGAAGACAGGGGTGCAGGGCCAGCTCCGGGGCTGGATGGCCCAAGGGCCAGCTCCTGCTGCTGCTTTCCAGTCCACCAGCAAGTCCTTCATGAGGCCCTTGTCTCCCTGTCCCCACAGCTCTCCTGGCCTTTCTTTACTCCCCCTCGTCCCAGTGCCAGAAAAGTTCCAGCACTCTGCACATCTCTCTTGGCAGGACATGGCATCAGGACATGCCCAGGACTGTGTCCTCCTTGCTTTTCAAGTGGAGAACAACCAGCAAGAGTATGGAGGCTGCTCTTCTGCCTGCCATCAGTGGACATGTAACACATACCAGGGGTAGAGCACAGTGCACAGTTCTGTTGACTGCATTTACCTGGCTCCTTGAATTCCTTAAAGGTGTCATTCACCAAGGGAAAATGGATTACTATAGGCGCTCTGGGGTCCTCTGCATCCGCAAATATGTAACATTCCTTTGGGTTCTTCTCTTCTTCTGGACTCAGCTCCACTTTGGGGAATGGGATATTTTGTATCTTGCAATATTTGTATGTCATCTCTAATTGCTGTGGACACAGAATGCCATGGAGTTAAAGCTCTAAAAAAAGAATCAGGTTTGCTCAGGTATCCTGGAATCCAATGGCATCTTAACTCGTTCCCTAGAAAACCATGAAATGTGTAGTGCAGTAGAAACACTATGAATGTGTAGTCCAAAGCAGCCACAGTACAACCTTACTTACACCATTCAATGCAAGTCAGACAATGACACTTATCACCCTGTAATGTTTTTTACAAGCCCAAGTGAATAATCCAAGATCACACTTAGAATTCATCATGACAGACCAGGAGAGGTCACAAGCATGTCTCCAGCAAACAATTGTTACAGCAATTCCCTGAGGATTCAAGGAAGTATATATTGTAATCCCCTACAGAAAAAAGGAGCCTAACAGTTTCCATAGGTCTGTTATTGAAGGAAGTTTCTTTCCTCCTTCAAGGCATGGTGATATAGGATTAAGATTTAGACAGCCATTTACTTAGAAGTTTTAGTAAGACAAAAAGAGTTTTACTCAGCAAAGAGCAGAGTAAGTTAATCTTCTCACCTTGAACACATGTCCCAACCCATAATCAAGGGATATAATGACATCTACATTCCTCTCCGGCTTGAAAAGTGCTGCACCGCTGGTGTTGATGAAATAGCCAACATCTATCAGACAAAGATATTTCTGCAGTGGTGTCAGATTGTTAGGGAAACCATCCAGCACAGTGTCTGAAAAACATTTTAATATAGTTAGTGGTGCATTTTTAGGAAAGAGTGAGTAATTCTGTCTGTGCTACATGCTAAGCGCAGCTCCTTGGTTACCCTCCAGACTGGGGTCACCTCCCTCCACAACGTGAGCCCACAAACACGGCCTCAGGAGCGTGCCCTTCCAACTGCACTTCTGGACACACCTGGCCTGTTTCCACACTCTCCCAGGTACACCCACAAAGGCAGGCTGTGGGGCAGCCAGACAGAGGACAGGTGAGACACAGACTCCACTGACCTCACAGCTGCTCTGGGGAGTCATTTTTCACAGAATACAGACTTCAACAGATTTTTTTTTTCCCCCTAAGAACTGGGAAAAAATGCAAACAACAAAAAACAATTTCACAGTGTAGCAACACAACTAACAAATGCAATACATAATTGCACTTTTGCATTGCTCTTTTTTTTGCCTTTGCCTTCTCAGGGTTTGCTTTCTACCCCTCTCTCAGGTAGAAAAGTGTGACTTCAACTTGCTTTCAGTGATGTCATATAAACCATCTTAGCCGTGCTGTAAAATAATACCACGTCATGCATACAACATCACCTACCAACAGCTTAAAATACTGCTTGATGAATTAATTAAACCTCACATTAATGCCAAAAGGGGATTACACCAACTGGTAAGTTGAAATCTAAAGCCAGTTTCTGATATCTAGAATCTTACTTCTCTGCTAGCAACCTCACCAGCTTGCCCCGTAGACAGCAAGTCCTTTATTGTTCCTCTAGTACACTTTCAGTCCCATGGAACGGGGAACATTTTGCTATGGTTTTAAATATCAAAATAGTGGTTTGAGAGTGCTCCTCAAGTTCACAAAATGAAGCAGCAAAGCCCAGAGGAGAATACTTGAGGTTTAAATAATTGTGTTAAGGCATTTTAAGCAACTGTTGATCACAGAAATACTGTTGCTAAGTTTCAGCATTTCAATTCATTCAATTGCTCTGCTTCCTTGGCCTCATTCTGTAGTGTTGATTTAAACCATGCAAAGTAAATCTAGCTTGTTCCATAGCCTGGAATGTTTCACACCAGCTTGAAGTAATAATTCATAATTTTTCCATTCCCTCCCTGTCAAGTCTTTACAAAATGCGCTTATTTTAGCATTCAAGGCTGCTGAGAATTCACAGATTCAACTGTAATAAGAGACATTTGCTTGCAGTCCCTCACAGAAGAAACAGAGCGTACTTTTTAGTTTTATTTGGCCTGGTGAACATTTTTAGATGAAATTCCATTACCTCTGTTTTCTTATCACAGAGATGGAACCTTGCAGCATTTATTCATGACTGTGTATGTGAACTACAAGTAGACACTTGTCTTGTGAGACCCCCCTCTTTCATCCCACATCCAAATAGAGATTTTAAAGAAATCCTGTCTCAGAAATATCCTTGGAAGCCTGAATGCTACTGTAAAGGCATTATGCTAATTCCAGGCTATTAGTTCAATTTCTCATCAGGAAAATTAGGCATGGAAAGTCTTGTTTTAATATGTCAGATAACCTGAGCTGCAGGGAAGCCTTTAAAACAAAGCTCTATTCTCAAGACTTCATCTGCCACAAGATGAATTTCTGCTCACAGACCTGGCATCTCCTCTTACTCCTACAGATGATCCATACCTGGGTTTAGCTTGATCTTACACAGGCAGCAAAAAGAAGATGAAAAACCTGATAATTTTTCTTACTCCAGACTTTCAGTTTGCCTTTTACCAATCTGGATTTTATGCTTTCCACATATTTTACTTTATTTGTAGAATATCTACCCTGACATAGTCATTAGTGTTCCTATGCTCCCTCCCTCAAAATCCTCCTTGAAATCTGCTTCTATCCATTTGTCTTTACAAAACTGTCAGCAAATATAAGGACAGTTATGTTTTTTAACATTTACTGACTAAAAATTTTATCCTTCATCCACTTTCTGAAGCTACTTGCTTGCTCCTTCTCTCACCCACCCTTCTTATGCTACTTGTTTTTTCTCCTTCTTTCATTTGTTTTCTTAGTGCAGACCCATTTAAAACACAGACATTTTGCTTACTGAACATTTTAAAAGCAGAGAGCACACTGTGGGCTCTGTCTTAATCCACAGAAAAGCACCACCATCTCTCACCATTGTCAGCAAACTGTGTAGCAAGGGCAGAGAGGGACAAAACACATTATAACTTGCCTAAAGTGGGAGAGAAAAATGCAACTTGCCAAAGAGAAGGGCTCAGAGAAGGCAGAGAACATGAGCTTTCTTGATGAAGTCAGGTCCTCCCACACTGCTATATGTTCATGGAATAAATGAAGATGCTGGGATTATAGGAAGGTTTCTGATGCAAAAAACCTCAGCTCCATCACCTTGCTATCATTTCACAGATTGTTTCATAAGTTTTGAGGTAAAACTATTGCTGCCTGCCTACAGAGCAAAAGTCATAGAAAATTACTCCTCTATTTTTAAATCAAGTCTATCTGTTTGTTTAACATTTACAGTCTAAACCTAGATGACTTTAACTTTCTGTAGCTGGATTTTGGTATTTCTGTTTCTGAGGGGTTAAAGACAGGTCTCTGGATGGATAATTCATCGGGCAGAAATACCAGACATATGGGAAACCACATGCTTGCAACTAGTCCTTTCCTTCATCTGATGCACATAATAACCTGCCATTTTATGCTTCTGCTGTTACCTTTGTTTCTTGACATCAAAAGATTCTGCCCTTCCTAAATCTTTTGACTACTACACCTATGCAGAGTGACAAACTTACTGTAGAAAAGCACTTCTTGACTCAAATTACAGGTATCTTCTGGTAGTGAAAGAGCAGTCCATGGACTAGTTAATTTTAACCTGTTACCCTAAAGAAACAGATACCATGAACATAGGTCCAACTCAGCCAATTTCCAAACCCTGAAACAAATATGAGTTTTCCAAAGTCTAAAAAACAAAATCTGAGATGTTACCTGCACATTGCAGCTAACTCTTTGTTGCAGTTACCTTTCCATTCAATAAATTTTTTCTGATGGATATAATCCTTATGAAACTCTAAGCCTCTCAGGAAGTTATGTGACTTTCCCAGTAGTGGACGCTTGGTCATAATGTCCTGAAACATTTCATACAACTTTCCTGACAAACAAGATGGAGGCTCGATAACAGTAATGTCTTCCTCAGGAGAATGTTTTTCTGAAATAGAGAAGAAACCGTGAAATAGAGAAAAAAACAACAGCAATCTGCCCTGCCAGACACCTCTGCTGGCTAGCTGCCCTTGTCTTCCTGTGGGTCACTCTCATCCCTGTTTCCCTGAACAGCAGGCTGCTGGAAAACACGTGCACATGACCCATGTCATTTACCAAGGAGATATTTAGTTTTCTTTAAAGCAGGCACAGTTTTTGTGTTTTACTCTTTCAAATGACATACTGGCTTTGTACTTTTGCCCACAAGTAAACGCCAAGCTTCTTATTTGCAGTAACAAGCAGAGTCATTTAGCAGGCCACTCAACTTTAAATGAAACTTTAAATGAAAAACATTTGTACTAACATGAAGCATGCCTCTGGGGAAAAGAGAGAAGAGAGAAGAGAAGAGAAAAGGACATAGCAATCATTCTGATACAGATTAAACTCATGCTGGAAGATCCACAGTGAGGCAACACTTTAGAAACTCTTACCTATATCTACCATATCTTGGGACCATCGTTCCCAGAATTCATTTGAATTTGAGGACCAGTACAAGCCATCCAGCAAATTCCTAGTAAAGATGTTCGTCCAAAGACCTGCAAGTCAAGCCACATGGGAAAAGTATTGCACTGCCACATGTTAACCACTGACTATTGCAAATACCCTTGCTACACATTATTAGCCCACCCAGCCTGACCCCATCATGACACAACTTAAGCAGCAGTTCTCAGAGAGCTCAAACATTGTGGTGTAAGCACTTCAGTGCTCTTTCTCAGGAGGTAACTACACACAGAACATTCACTGCATAGTCCAGAGTAACAAAATAAGAGGTATCAGTCACCCAAATGATGTTGTAGAAAGTTTCCTGTGTACCTGTGAGAGAAAGTAGGCTTTGAAAGCATGCTGAAGTCATGTAAGCATAAAGGCCTTCTTTAAACTGATTTATTATTTAAATTGATCTAAGACTAATTCTCTTCCTTCCAGGCATGTTTTGTTTCTGTGGAGTGCAGCTGGTCCAGGTTCAAAATAGAATTGGCTCCATCTGTGAGTCTGCTTTTGGAAAAGAACTATCCTTCCTCATTAAGCTCTATGCCAGGTACTTACACGAGGAACAAATTGAATCTGTATCAGACTCCACAGTGAGATAAATATGGGGATTTTATCCTCTACCCTTGTTTTTGGTATCAAAACTAAAACATTTATGGGGATTTAAAAACTGCCTGGGACAGATGGGTTCCTCTGACTAGCTGCTTTTTCCCTTTCTTCATCTTTGGCAAAATGGCCAGTCAAAGTAGTTGGAAGTCAAAAGATCTTCCTTCATCATTATGAGCAGAGAAGATTAGTGACACCATCCTCAAGCCACAAAGCTCAGGTAGCTTCTGTCTTTGTGGCTTGTTCTAGATGGCATATTTTATTCTCAGCTCCTTCCAATTCTACCCCAGTAATGCTTTGTATGGAAATATAGTTTATGAAGTTGAAGAGTTGGAGACTGACCAGGAAAGGAACGTTTATTATTTCCTCAACTTGCCTCTTCCACCACCTTATTTGGTTTGGACAATGGAACAGGAACCATGCTGCAACTTCCCCAAATCTACCCAGGTGAAAAGGGAGGACAGGAGGATAGAAGATACACAAGGATCAGAAGTGTATGAAAGGGGTAAAAAGCTCATTGATTTAAGACCTAAAGCAGAAGTGCTGGCAAGGAGTGTTGTGCCTGTGGCTAGCAAACATCATGCTTTCTACAATGCTGTGATTAACTACATAGCACTGCTATGTCACCTTCCAGATAGCAGATCCGAGATTCTGGCAGCTTCTTCACTCTCCTTCCCATGAAGAACTCGCTGTCAAAATATTCTGAAGGAATTGAGACTCCATATTTTGGTATAGCCACTTCATAAGGAGAGAAATCTGCCCACTCTACAAAGAATTTACATGAGGCATGTTTGTTACAATAAAAACAAAACCCCAAAACCTTCCCAAGGATCTTTCTTGTCTCAGCAGCTCTGTACTATCTGCACATTTGTACTGCAAGCTGCACTACTTCCATATAGAGATATTATTTGCAACGAAAAGGAACCAGCTTTTTCAACTCAGAAAAGATCTAACATTAGGTTCAAATGCTTAGATATTTATTTCTACATCAAGATTCTGGGATCACACTTGCCTCTCTAACTCAAGAGCATCAACTGTACTTCATGCAAGAGCGGTGCGAATTGCAAGGAGTGACTGGCATGAAAGCTCTGTTAACCCAAAACTGCCAGTCTACAAGATATAACAAAGCAGCCTGAAGACACATCAACATCACACTAGAAATTACAGTGTGACATGGATGTGCAGTTTCCTGGCTCAAGCTGTCCTGCACAGGCATTACAGTAGAACAGTAGCTATAAATCTAAATAAACATAAGGACTAATTGTGTTTCTTTCCAGTATCTACTGCTCTTAACACCTTTTGTTGAATGTGGCCTGTATCCAGTCAAAGGAAGTCATATCACACCCACCACAGCAATCATGTTCCCCTCCATTTTCAAAACCTCATCAGCATCATATTTAGGAAGTGACAATTACATTTCACAGCACCCCTAGAAACTAAGGAAGCATCAAAGCCATTTTATAGGCATGGCAGGAAAAGATCAGATGATTTGCTCACACTCTGTCACAGTGCCTGTTGCAAAATTAGGACTTCACCACTGATTTTTAATTAATGTCCTGTTTATGGCTTAGGATGTTATCCAGCAGATGTGCTCTTTCTAACCAAGCAGTTTGCAAAAAAGACAAACATTTTATTAAAATATGAATACTGAGTGAGGGCAAGCAACTGATGTATTCCCCCTTTTTTTTTCTCCACATACACACACCTCCCTCCAAATCCTCTTTAATCCATACCCAGAATCAGAAGAAACTCCCCGAACACATACCTCTAAACTTGAAAGTACCAAACTTCTCCTCTTTCACATTGAGGACTGCATAGAAAGGCAGTGGGTTTTGTCCATGCTCCAATGCCCTGCGCTGGTCTGTGAGTTTGTACTTTCTTGGCTAATCAGTGAGATAAAAAAATCACAGTAAACCTCTGTAAGAGCACAACACTGGCACAATCTACCCAATTAAAGATTTAAAGATTGATAACAGATATTTTACAACACAGAGGAATCTGTAAGTCACATTTTTTTTAAAAAACCTTTTCCTTCATGTTCTGCACTTTCCTTCCTGGTTGCCTTTTGGGTACCTAATAACTTCTTCATTAGAATATCCAAGTGCCTTGACTGCCTGCATCCCACAGATCTTTACTAAAGCTGAGATTAATGTTCACATGAGGAGAGATAACTCTAACTTTTAAAAGTCAAACCAGAAGCAGACTTTAAAAATCTGACTTTTCAAGGAGAGTGGGAGCTGGGAATTCCTCAGTTCTTTCTGGTTTGACTTCAGTTTGCCTACTGAAGTCACTAGCTGTTGGGCACCCTAGGTCAGAGGCACCTTCAAATGATTGTCTACTCTGAAAAATCCTGGCTACAAGATCCTCTGTCATAGTTTACAAACCACATTGGAATGGCTCAGTCTCTTTGGATTTGTTACACACATTACATCATGCCCTTAAAAAGTAAGGCTCTAAAGAAAGTGGTGTTTCCCAAATGTGTGGCAGGACCATGTACCTACCCGCTCATGTAAGAACATCTCCTGAACAAGTGACCACAGAGTTGTAAAAGATGGCACATGTCCTGCCTTTGCCCTTTCAGCAAGTTCCTTGTGATAATACTTCAGATGGTCTACAGACATAAGGTTGAGTTTGCATTTTGTCACTTGTTCTTTTACTGCTTTAAGTGGCCCCTCCAGAGACTTCTGTGACCAGTCAGCATGCTCATACAGGTCTGCTAGGGTCCTAAGGAACAGAAATGTTAGAAAATCACCCATTTATTTAGATGATTTTGGAAAACTGATACATTTACACAATCACTTCAGTCCATTAAAGAGAATCAGTGAGCCTGATTCTCTTTTCAAACTGAAGTCATAATTGAGAGCCAACAATAAGAGCTTCATGGGGGAATTATGTTCACTTGTTAACAACGTAAGTCTGAAAGAGATGCATCTCCCACTATGGGAAGAAGTAGTCACACTCCAAATTCCAAATCCAGTCTCATTTTCTATACTCACCATGTTGAGCCAGAAGCCCCGGTGAGGTAGGTGACACAGTCCAACAGATTTAGCTTCTGAAGGGCTAAGAGGTGGCCAAACATAGCTGACATTGCTCTGAGACCTCCGCCTGTTGCCATAACAGCTATTACTGGGACCTGTCCAAAGCACAAGGATTATTCTCAGAAAGTTACTCCCTTGCTACTTGGAAAAGTCTAATTACAGCTCTCAAAATATCTTCAGCAGATTCATTGGAGGGCAGTGAATTAAATCACCACTTAGCCAATCTTTATCAGTACCTTACTGAAATTAACCTCCAGAGACTGAACCCCACTGCTTGGATGAGTTTGAATATACAGTCATTTTAACATTCCTTCCTACCTTTACTCCCTATAATTGGAATTGCAATGATTAAAAATAGATAATGATATTATTTTATTATAAAAAACAACAGATTGCAATAAATGCAATTAAAATGGATTAAGGAAGATTTTTGAATGCTGCTGATTCTTTGGACAGCGTTCATTTAACAAATATAATTCCAGTAAGAAAATAAGTTTTCCCTTAAAAAGTCACTCTGGATCTTGGCAACAAAATATACTTCAGCTTGTTATAAAATGTTCTAATGTTCTTTCTTCACCACAAAAAATATTTACTTTTTGTAAGAAGTGTTCTGAGAATGAATAAAAAAGTAAGCCTAAAGAAGTGATGTTACACTGATTTAACACATATTTATGTGAGGTGAATTTCCAATACTCTTGTTTTCCTGTTGGTTTGGGTTGCCTTACTAGGCTGTATCTAACACAACGTCTCATATCTTGCTGACTTGCAGCACCATACTGTTGGAAACTGTGTTTGAAGAGTGGTATTATTACATCCTTGTTCTTTGGCCCATTGAAGAGATTGGAGGGATGAACACTTGAGCTGAAATTTTACATGAGTCTGGGCTATGCCACACTGAGAACCTCAGCTCTGCTGCCATTCAAATCAATGGGTTTGCTAGCAACATGCAAATATTACTAGAAATTTCGAGGGGAGTTGTGCCAATCCTAATTCAATAGACCCACACCCCATGCTTGGATTCCAAAGCACAGACCTCATGTCCATGTAGATCTCTTTCCAGATGAAGAACCCTTTTCAGGGCACCAGCAACAACTCTCTTCCTCTTATGCAGGAACTCCTGCTCTCCTTGGCACAGATCATACCCCAAGCGCACATCTAGTTTTTCTGTGCTGTAACAAATAAATCCAGAGGCACAGGATTGGTGTTTAAAATGCATATGGATCTATTTTCAGCAACTGCAACCTAATTAATTAATAAAAAATCCTGATTCTTTGTTCCAATTTTTACAGAAATATATCTTTCATTTGCAAAGAAATCAACTTCTTTGCTTCTACATGGTCTCTTTATGTTTCAGGGTAAGATTTATTGCCAGTTAAGGATAATAAATATGAAAAACAAAGAAGGGCTTCTTTGACTTTCAGAAGCTTTGCAAGCCAAATCCTTTCTATTTCTGCTTCGTATGATTTCTAAGCAAAGGATGACTTAAACCTAACAAAGTCTTTCATGAGCATTTGTACTGCAGATTTATACAGAAACTGTACAATGAAAAACATATTCAAATAATTTCTGTTTGTTTCTTGTCTGACACGTTATTTTACAATGTAACATTTTGTCTTCCCTAGTTTATACTTCTTTCTCTTGATATCACCAGAGCCACAAGTCTGTTTCCTTAAGAGAACATGTAGTTTGGGAAATATATGGACTCTGACGTTTCATTTTTTTTTCAAATTCTCTTTTCCCTCTGCCTTCTTTCTGAGCTCCTTTTGAAGAAGCCTCCAGTGTTAGTCTTTGATTCTTTGATGCAAAGAACATTCAGTGACTAAGTTCTTCACCATTTGAAACTTTAACAATTTTTTTGCGTCTTGGTGGGACCCTTTGCCCCGAGGACATTTAGCTTTCAACTGCTGTGGTGACTCTTTAATGATGACCTAAATGACGTTACATTTTGTCCCTAGTCTTGTGCATTCCTTATATCTAAATAAAGGATATTCTGTTCTAGATTTCACAGTTTGAAGAGCAATAAAACCTTTAGAGAAAAAAAAAAAACATATCAGTCCTCTTACCAAGCATTTAGTTGAAGGTACAACTGTAGTGGCACATTCTGTAAACAAAGAGATGAGAGCAGGAACATGAGTGGAGAGAAAAAGAGAAGTTTTGAATCCAGATTTTCAGTCCCTCCTGAAAAGTCCCACCACTGCCACCCTTTTTGGTTGTTGTTTTGGGTTTGGTTGTTTGTTTTTTTTTAAATATTAATGTGTTAACTAGTGAGGGTTATTCTACTCTTCTTTCCAGACACAAATTATGAAACACTTACATGTCTTACGGGAAGGGTTACTTTCACTTTATGTCCAACAGGGAGAAATTTCAGAGGTACCGTTAAGGTGTCACTTAAATTGCTGTTGTCATCTTCCTTATCAGAAACTTTCTATACAAAACAAAAAGCATGGGTTGTATTCACAGAGCAGAAGCAGTGCAGTTCTTTGCTGTTTTGGTCACACAGAAGTAAGCAAGCAGCACGAACAGCAGTGCTGAGGTGCCCATTACCTGCAGCCTGACTTTTAGAACTGGCTCCCAAGCCTTCACGCAGTGGAAGTAGAAAGTGTCGGTGTCCTCTGTCGTCTTCTGCGTTCTCTCATGAGATGCAGGCACCGTAAGCACGAGATTTTTACCCTCTAGTAAAAACAGGTTTGTTTAGAGAATAATACTGCTGTTCAGGCAAAAGAGCTAGCAAAGTTGGCAAACTTTCTGGTGGAGTAATTTTCTGTGGTAGCTCCTCTGTAAACTACCCCACTGGCAAGTCTCCTACAGCACAGGACCTGGTACTCCTGCCTTACCCCCACAGCTTGGAGTGCTCCCAGAGTCTGCATCTGCTCTTACTTCCACCAGCAAAGTCTACTGTGCCCAAACTTGACAGCACCAAGGAAAAGACACAGAGACCCGTCCAGGGCAGTTCAGGGCATTTCAACGCATTACATTTTATTATTTAGATCATATATCACTACCTGTATATAATTTAGAACATTCTTAGTTGTCTCTGTACTCTAAAATGCCTCCATCTGGGTCTGAATGACTATAATAGGGTAGGTTTGGTCACGTTCTCAGTTCACAGAGAAATTGCCATACCTTTCAAGTATTTCCTGCTTTCATTGATGTCCACATGCACTTCCAAGCAGCAAACCTCACGGGACTGTAAAAGGCAGAAATGGAAAAGGGTGAAAAAAGCAAACAACACATCTGATGCAAATAATGAAACATCATGCAGACAACCACCACCTATAATACTGAGCCAAATGAACTGGTCTCAGTGCTGGGAGCTATCCAAGAGAAAATTCAGAGCTCATTATTCCAGGACAGTAGCCCAAGTTGCACTGTGTCAGAGTGTCAATACAATGGTGCCTTGTCAGATGTTGTTAACACATTCAAATTATCCCAAAATCAGGAAACTCTGTACAACACACTGTTGCCCAAACACATATATCTAATAATTATTTGGGAAGGGTGGGGAAAAATACCTGATGATGAGTTTCTGTGTATTGTGGCAGTGATTAGCCTACAAAGCATCTTCTTATTGGCCCTGATGTAGGGAAATCATGGATTTATTCCACCCTACCCTCCACCTGAGTCACTCCAGTTCACCTTTAATAACTCATGCCAGGACAGTTTTCCAAGTCATTTCAGGAACAATGCATGCCAGTCATTGCAATTCTTGTGCCTCACACAGAAAATGAGGGGGAAAGAATAGAATGTGTGTTACTTTGCCTCAGGGGTATCAAGGGCTAGCATCTGGGAACCATGCACAGGCTTGGAGGAGTTGGCATGAAGTCCTTGGTACTCCTTAGCTGCTGGGCCAGCCCAAGGAGACAGGTAATGTACCACATGCTGACTAACACCAAAACAGGGCTCTATGTTTCAACAACTGAAATAACTCTTTATTAAAAAACTCATTTCCCAAAAAGCTGTTACATTAGATACCCTTCCAGTCATAAGCAGACAGAACACCTACTATTGTCTTCCACAGACATTTCATAACCTTTGTTTTTCCTGCCAAGTGCCAAGCTGTGTCACGAGAAACACAATCAGTTTTCACTCTGAACACCAATAAATATGGGGTTCTGCAAGAGTAACAAACCACAGCTTGGCAACACATTGACATCTGCAACAGCTGAGGACTTCAAGGACTCACAGCTGCTGGTTTTTTTATGGAGAGGGCAACAATGGAGCTGTGTATGGGACAAGGGCACTGTCCCATATCTCTGACTTTAAAATGCACACTGTGCTCTTATCTGTCATGGTAGATTGTGTTCTTTCCACAAAATGGGGGGGGGAAGAGGAGAGGATCAAAATGAGGGAGATGTCACTCCAAGGTAAATTCTCATATGAACCTTACCACTAGGACATCATTGGTAATGAGATGCTCTGGAGGACCAGGACTGAAAAGACAAAAACAAGTAACAAACAAAAAAGGCTGTGTGAATAGCTGGATTTTGGTGTGTTTTGTTTAGTTTTTTTAAATAGCAGTTATAGAACCTTTCCCACTTAAATTGAATATAGGTAAGTTATCACAATTTGTTATCTAAGAGGCAAAATACATGATCCCATGCTAAGCATGTGAACCAAAACACAGCAGCCAAACAAAAAGAAAGACAGGAAAGCCCATAAAAATACTAATGTTTAAAACTATATGCTAAGTTACAGGAGAACAAAGGCATATTGGTATATGTGGAATCATGTCCTGCTATTAACAAGTGACCACAGGACCTGGGGAAAGCAAAGACTACTATTAATGTGTTCTGCAAACATAAACATTTCTGACTAGTTCATATTACAACTTATGGCTGATCACAAATGAATGGTAAATAAGAATTAGCTCCCACTGTGCTATATGTGTGACTGCAAAACACAGAGGTAAGCAATAAAAAGTCTTTGTCCCAGATATTTTACCTTTTAAGACCTTGGTCTGTCACTGAATGGATGTGGTTTAATTACATGAATAATGTGTAGAGTCTACTAACAGCATCTTTCACTAAGGCAAATATTACAACACCTCTATGTTACACACATTCATAAATTCTTTCATATATCTGAAAAGGTCTTTGAAATTATGTAGTACATAACCTTTGTAAGTTCAGGTTATTTTACCAAACACCATTTCCAGGCTTAAAACCTCTATTTCAACTGTACAATGTATTGAAATAACTAGGTTTGATTTCTAAGGATAGTCATCTCCCAAATGCCTTATAACTTGAATGATGAAAGATGTTCCTCTTGTTTCTAGTCTGAATCCAGTTCCCAAGCACTGCTTCTCATTCTGACCTTTCATGTGACTGACTGTCATTGCTTCCACAGTTGCAGGAGATTATTACCATCATCATATGTGATACCATCTCTTAAGGTACCTCTCACAGGTAAATTAAATACATTTTGAGTTTCACTGTGGGAGAAATTAACCAAGAACACAAATGATTTTTTCTGCAGTTTCCTCATGTTTAAGAATAAGAAGTCTTATTTGTCTTGCTTACAGTTCCTTCCCCTGATCACGCAAGTTAGCCAGATTTCACTGGACTACTTTTTTTTTTTTTTTTTTGGCTAATGCTAAACTCAAATATTCCAGAATGTGTAGTTTAGGAGGTTCCTCTTCAACCAAGGCTGTGATAGGATTTAAAACACAGGTAAAGTTTATCTTATGGGACTTGTTCTCCTGCAGACAATGCTGATTACCACTTTGAGGGGGATGGTCTTATTTTCATTATTTGTTGATTTGTATGTTTCTTCAGTTTAGCTAAGCTATTGCTAAATGGATGACTTTTTTAGTACTGTCTACATAACTCCATGTATACATTGTTATAATAATACAAGACAAATTTTATGGTCTCTGAGAAATTCCACAATGTTCTAGGCATTGTTCAGTTAAGATCAACAATTTGAAGAGCACTCACATTAAGTTTCACATGCATCTTGTGTAAAAGTTATCACATTGACAATTTTATTACATTTCCAGGATCTAGATATACATGTTCAACAGAAGTTTAAGATTTGTATGAAATATACTGAAAGGTGGAATTAGCTAGAGAAGGTAAGGTAAAAAAAAAAAAAAAAAAAAAGTTTGAAACTGTAATTTAGGTTCACTGCTGGGAGAAAGAGCTGGAAGAAGTTTCTCATCCTTGGGGTATCATTACTCCCTGGCAGATCTATACCTTTTAGCTTTGGAGTTTTACTCACACTCTTTCCATCCAGAATTCCACTTCCAAACTTTCCCATTTCTTAGAGCACGTCTCTGTCTAAACAGAAACAGGTAAAATAAATATAGATTATTGAAGGCTGCAAGAATTTGGCAGCACAGATACATCTAAAAAGCACTTCAAAGCACTGACATCTCTTCTGCTAATGATACCAAAAGAAGTTTGGTTTTGTGTCTTTCCAAAGCTGAAATACAACAGAAACCACAGACTTGTGAAAGTCTGGCATGTAGAACTAACAATGTCCCATTGTGTGATATGTAGAATTATACATATTTCCTTCTCTGATTGAGAGGGAGAACTTGATAGAAAAGGAAATATGATGGCTCTCTGCAAGATAATGTGCTGGGAGAAAGGCATCAAAGCCCAGCAACAAATGTCACTAAGACCAGAGACATTTTCACATACAAACCATTTAAAGCACATATGAACTGAATGCAGGAGAGATGAATTAGGCAAGTGACTGAAGTGGTTATTGAATCATTGTATTTCCCAGTGACTCACCCACTGGCTGAGAAGAGCACAGCACCAGCCAGCAGGGTCACAAGGAAAATCCATGTTAACAGCTTTCAGCATGTGGGAAGTAGCTGTTTTTATGGGCTGTCTCCCTCCTGTAATGAGAGTGTAGCAACACCTCAGCAACAGCTCAGACAAGCCCAGGAGTTGTCACAGACCTATCCCAGCTTTGTTTACTGGGCAACTCTCTTTCTCAAGCTCCTTAATAAAATACCAAAGATGCTAGCAGGACAGATGTTTCTTTGCTATGAGCTAGAGGAATCTGAATCAACGAGAAGGAAACCCAGCATGAACACCAACAGAGAAAAAAACCTGAAAGAACCATTTAATTCAAGTAATGAGTGAATTGTTTTCATGTTTTTAATAAATAAGTTGCCATTTATGAGGAAATTTCCCTGAAGCATGGCAAAAGTGGGATAAAGCTGAAAGGTAAGTAAGTATTTCTTCAGATTCTAAAAGATAAAAATTATTATTTACAGATGCCTCCTGTCAAAATATGTTGCCCTGAGAGAGCATGAGACAGAAGCTGCTTCATTTCCTCAATTTGTAAAAAGACATTCATGATGTCACAAAAATACAGCAAAACTGTATCTGTTTTGATGAGGTATTGATAATGACATATAAGGCTACCTGTTCATGAATATCCAAACCCTACCTAACACGGAGGACAATGTGGACAATGAGGTCTGGTCAATCTCTCCCTGTGGTTTTTTTCAGCCCTTACCTCTGATTTCAAAGCAAATGTCTCACGGATTTTCTCCCCAGGTCTGATTCTAGCAACATTAAAAAGAACTGTGAACTGCATGTCATCTTTGGTGAGTGCATCTTCATCACACACTGCCAATTCTAAAATATTCTGGTAGCAGAAAAAATAAATAAGAACATTTATTAAGCTTCTGTTAGGCAGAAACAAAAAAAAATTATAGATTTTTGCAACTGTTTCACTAGCAGAGCAGTAAGAATAAAAAAGCATGTCCTTTCTTTCAGTAGTCTGCTAATGTAGAACAATATTATACCCAGCCTTGGGAAACTTGTGACATGGAAAACAACCACCTACAACAGAGATTCCCACTCTCCTGAGACAGAAAAGATGCCAGTGCTCTGCACCCCACTGATAACCCACCTGAAGAACAGACTTTGTTTTTTCATTCTCAAAGTTCTCCAAATGTCACAATTTAGGGAAGGATTAAATTTGTTGTCTACACCACAGCAACTTCTCTACTCTTCCCTTAGAACTGGTGGAGGGAAAGCTCTTTCAAAGTACAGAAGTATGCAACAGTAGTGCTTATTCCACGCAGGTGACAACAAAGGGAGTCTGGATACAGGCATTTACATCACCAATGTCTGTAAATAACTGAGCAAAATACTACTTCTTATGTCTACTGTTCTCTGTGCAAACCAGTCTGTTAAGCAAGCATTTTCTTAAATTATTTAGCACTGAGCATCAAAATGGATACTGAGGATTCCAAGCTATCCAAATTAGTGAAAATTCTATTTTTTTACTACCTCAACTTCCCTCTGGATCCTAAAGTAGAAAGTCTCATTCCAGACAGGGTTGTCAGAATTCCTGATGGTTTTGGTCCGAAGCTTTCCAGGTGAAGCAGACGGCAGCCACAAGCGTACATAGCAGTCTGATGCCGTCACTGCAGCAGAGAAAAATTAAAAACCTGATGCCAGTGTTATAGAGGAACAGTAGGGCTAGGCCTTAATCCTGGAGATTAATAAATATTACTACTTTTTTTTTTAATTAGTAAAGAGATCACCATTTGGAAACAACCAAGGAACACCATCTAATTACTGAGTAACTATAAACTGCAAATGTACACATGCACGCACAAAGTACACTAAGAGCCACGTTTCCCATGTGAAGAGAAAGAGGAAAGTGGACTATGCCCACTGACCATTCCTCAGGCATAGTCCTCACAATTGCAGTCAATGATGTTAAAAAGTTAAACTGAAACTACAGCTGGTTCCACAAAGGGCTGTTAGGATGATTACGGGAAAGAAGAATGCATATTACAGCAGAGAACAGAGTCTGCCTTGCTCAGCTGAGTCACACAAGCATGCGGAGGGGACATAATGGCTGTCTAGAGGTGTTAGGCACTAGGCAAGATGATCTGCTGCCGCTCAAGGCCAGCGTGGGCCCTAGAACTGGAGGGCACAAGCAAGTCGGAAATCTTCATTTCACTTCCATCCTATATCTATTCCTTATGGTTAGTGCAGGCAGTGCCTCGAGCAGCCATCCTTTGGGGAGAGCCAGGGTGGGGAAGAGCATTTACTTTGTGAAGCTTGGCAACGGTGTGAAAGGAAATCTCCCAGTTGATGTCTTTCAGAGCTGGAGTCAGGACTTGATGGAAGATTTCTACTGCAGCCCGAGATGCCTAAATACTTCAGACTGGTATCAAGCAGTGAATAACATTGCCCCGCAAGGTTTTGGCACGAAAGTGGAACTGTCCCTTCAATAGAGTAGATAGAAGAGATCATTGAAACTCAGAAATACAGGCCTTGCCACACTAACACCGTTCTAGTGTCCCATTTGCCACGGGAGCACAGGAAGCCTTTGGCAGGCAGTTATTCAACCAACAGGGCATTCACTCCCTCTGATCTCCCTCACATCCAGGCTCAGCCCTGCATGGCAAGGCATGGATGGTCTCAGCTCTAACTCAAGTAAATCATTGCAAAGTGATGGGGTTTTTTTCTGAGTAGGTCATTTTTTGCTAGAGGAACACACAGGCCAGAAGTTTCAAAACTGACAAAAGGCAGCTCAATGCCTCTGTCCTAACTGAGGAGCTCATTGGAGACCTCAGCAAAAATGGCAGCTGAATGGCTGGTCCACAGCACACCTGGAGAAGGAGACAGAGGAGGCTGTGAAAGGGAGATAACGAGTTAAAGACACTTGAACACAAAAGTAGACATAAAAGTCTGTTTTGCCTGCATGCTCAGCATGGGCTTAGAACTGGATCTACAGAGGTCCTCCTTAAACAAAACTATCAATTTAATTTATTGTGACTGGTCAGCAAATACCCTGAAAGATAAAGTTGTTAGAAGGCTTGAAATTCTCTAATTCACCTTTGATTATTGTGTACAATTGGTACATTTCAATAAAAGTCCCTAAGTTCACAGCCGCGTGGCAAAAATCCTGCCCAAGGAGATTCATAGATTGCAGTGTCCTAATGAAGTCTACCTTCCCTGCTTGGCCCAGAAAATTAATCTGGGTGTCTTGTTTTTTACCAGTTCCCCGAAATGCCATTAGAGATGTACTCCAGTCTAATGATACCTAAGACATTTGATCTAATTATAGCCCTGGCATTAATATTTATATTGCTGTGCTTTACGTACGTTGCTTGCATACCTTCAGAACTTAAGAATATTGCTCACTGTGTAAACTCTGGAGGTGACTAAAAACACAATCAAACCACAACTCACACAGGTCTCTTGACTTGATGTTCTTAGCTTGTATGATTCTTACAGAAAGCATGTGGATGGGGCAAAACTTCATCTGCAGAGAAAACAAATGCAATAATTTGATCAGCTCAGAATGCAAAAAAACAAGACGTATTTTGAACAGTACAGGGGACAGTCTGCCCATGTCTGCTTGAAGGGAGGTGACTACCTTCCAGTGGCAGCACACCATGCTGAGATGAAAGCACAACAGCACACTGGGCTGTTTGCTAAGGAGCTCGAGTAAACGAAGACTGAGAGAAAACACGGGCTCGGACAATGGTAAGGAAAGCTTTCTTTGTCACCCCAGAGGCTCTTGTTTTCAGGCAACCTGATGCACAGTGATGGTTGTACTGCCAACACCCCAAGGGTCCTGTGCCACCCATAGGTCAGAATGGGGCCTTTGGAAGGGGATATTAGGAATTGCAGCTGCCTGCCCAGGTCACGGCACAGCTGACCTACCTGGGCCAGGACATGGTACTTACCAAAATGCGCTACAGACTTCTGACTTTGTATCTGAACTAAGATTAAATTTCTGTGATGCTTGTAAGTAGGGCCAGCTCACCAAGTGGTCCTGCTCACTTCGAGGGAACAGACCACAGGCCCAGCAGAGACCCTTCAGACAAAATAAAAACGGCTCTGCTTTGCAGGTATGATATCACAGAATTCCGTATCATTGCATATCCTGAAAATACCCAATGGAAATGGAAGCACTTGACTTCCAGACATGAGATTTATTTCTATCACAGGCAGGCTATAATTTTAACACTACTTCAAGTTACTTGTTCCTAACTCTTAACAGTTAAAGCTTTCCAGGGTAAGCTAATCAGAAAATACTTGTCATTTTCAAAAGATGTTCTGAGAAGCATGAATGAACATATATATAAATGTAACAATCTCAATAACAGAAGCAGGGAAAATATTTTAATATTTTAATCTGTAGTCTTTTTTAAATTGATACATTTAAATTTCCTTTTAATTTTCTGCTAGTTTTGTTGTTGTTGTTGTTGTTGTTGTTTTTTCTGCATGCTATACCAGCATGGCTTGTCAGCAATATTAAGAAATAATAACATGCAGTTATTACAGTCCCACTACCACTAATAAATTAAAACTTAAAGCTTAAACTACCAACTAAAATATCTCTATTTGCCTAAACAGAGAACCTCATTACACTGTCACTAAATAATTTGGCAATTTTATTTTTAAAGTGAGCACCATGACTAATTTTCCTGACGAGGAAATTATTAACTCTGTAGATACAAACTGTTAAGGAAGGAGGAACCTTTCTACAGAAGGAGCCACTCACTACAGTTAATCTGAGATTCTTTTAAAATGAGGTGGAGACTATTATTGGACATGTTTATTAGAGATGAGAATAGCCTGCATTCAGTTTCATTCAGGCTTGTTTAGAGCTAAATCACATTACATAAGATGGATATCCTCTGAACTGTGAATTAGCATGTTCAAATAAAGGTCTATTATTAAATTTTATTATGTTGCTTAAAGTTACACACTTTTTAAATTCAGATTTACTTTTAAGAGCGGCCCTGACTGGAGAAACCCTTGTTAAACCTATAAAATCACTTTAGTCTGTCTCTTGGCTTCATAAAAATTGCAAAGCAAATTTGTTTTTGTGTGACAAGATCTCTTTCTAGTATGTTTTCCTCCAAATTTAAAACTGACATATTTAAAATTTCCTTAGTTTAATGCATTGTGGACATTACAAGTTCTAATTGGGACACTTCCACATTATTCCAGCTGCCCACTGGAAGAATTTGACTTCAATTTTCCTGTGCAAATAGTTATTTATCATAGAACAACCAGCTGGAACACTCACTCAGCACACTTAGTGGTTTTCATTTACGTGAATTATTGGATTATGTAGACAATTACAGAGGTGACTAGTTTTAATTAATATGTTAATTCTTAGTCATTTTGTAATCAACTTCTCCCTTGCTCAACAGAAGCCCAAACCATTCACGGAATCTGCCTTCACTGAAGAAACACATGTTGGCATAAATTTTGCTTTGAAATTTTTCATGATGAAAATTTCCTAACTACTTATAAAAATGGTTCATCTGGAGGTCATCTTCAGAGTACTCTCAGATGTGATAGATGTCATGTTTTCATCCTCTGCCACTTCAGCCAGAGTGCCTCACTCCTCTCCCTTCCCCTTCCAACAGCACTTTCCTTAAACATGTCAACATTTGCCAAATGATGGAAATATCAAAGGTGACTTTTTACTCCTCCTGATTCGGTGCAGTTTAGTCCTGGTGTTATTGCAGGATAAAAAGCAAACAGATTCAGATGGAAAGTGTGGCCATAATAAACCCTGAGGGCTCTGTAAATCCCACAAGGAAGCCAGAAACCATCCCTCTCCCAAGACTGCAGATACTCCAATCTGTGATAACCATTCAGAAGCGGGCTAATTCCTTTTTTCATCAGATAAAGGCAGAGATAATTTTCTTCAACAAGAGCCCAGAGCAGACTCCTAGGGTCTGATTGTATGCTCTAAAATAACATCTTTGCCTGAAAGTGCTGGTACTCCAGAATACCCTTCTACAAAAAATAACGACAGTTAGAGGTACCATTTACTATTTTCATAACATGAAAAGCAACATGTAACTTCACAATTAATGCAGCTTGATGAGTGCAGACACCCTATCCAGACAGCCCTTGACAGGTTTGCAGCTACATTGGTCTTGTTGGTTTTAATTCACTTCCTTGGGAGAAACATGGTTTCTTGTACAAGCATGCAGAGAGTAACAAAACCTCTCTGTAAGCATCCAGAGTCGAAGGCAGCTTTCCCAGAAGCGCATCATTCTATTTTTGCTGGGAAATACTAGTGCGACACTGGGGCCAACAACAGAGTGCAGGATTCAGCTACCTGTGCATCACTGCATCCTAAACAATAACACTCCAGGCCAATAAATAGTAGCATCTCCAGAGTACCAAAGGGAAGGCCAAAACTTGGGGGGGAGGGGAAAATAAAGAAACCAACAAACTTATTTTCACTTGACAGTATTTAGCATTAAACTATATTTCTGTACTCTCAAACCAAGCTTTGAGAGTAATTTCTGTTTAAAATACAGAAGAGTCAGTAATCAGGAGATAAAAGTAGCATGTCAGAATTGCCACAGCTGTACCAAACCTTAACAGACTGAAAATTCACATCAGTTGCCACCATCTCATTGATTGTAATAATACATGCTCACTGACTTCCTTCCATAGGAATGTTGATCAGCCTTGGAAGGGCACATAAATCTTTTGTTTACAGGCAGTTAGTCACTTAAGGTTTCATTCCAAAAAGACAACTTTGAGCACATGAAATCTTCTCAAAGCTCATAAATATTGAGGAGCCTACCAAAACAATCTGTGGATGGCAGCAAAAGAAGAAAAGTCTACCAAGAGCTCATATGTTTGATTTCAGTATTTATTGTCCCTCTATGCTGCCACTAGAAGATGATCTCATGGCTACCTTCATTAGAAAGTCAGTATTCTAGGGAAGTTTCTGCAGTCTGGGAACCTCATCCCATAACTCCCTGTTTTCTTTTTCTTTTTTTTTTTTTTTTTTTTTTTTTTTTTTTTTTTTTTTTTTGAAATAAGTCCTTGGTTTGTACATGTTGGAAGGCTGATTGGAATGTCAGTGTTTCACTCTCCCTGCACCAAGCTTAGGCAGATCTCTGATCAGTTATTACCACGGGATAACACCAAATCATATTAAGCTTTGGATGAGGATTTTGCTGTCTTCTGACATTTTGAAAATTGGTGTAGGATTTGTCACTCAGCTTTATACATATGTTTCAGACATGAATAATTTCTTTCATGGATTACTTCTTTCTCCAGCAGTGTACTAGAAGCTGTACAATATCTTGCCCACAATATCTCACACCAAATGTAATTATCTGGCATATTCATTCCATTATTTCATGTTGGATACTGAGGATTTGGTCCAACTACAATTTGGCAATTTATCAAATCGAGATTAAATCTATAAATGTATAAACTATAAGAAAGCTTAGTTACTAGCCTGGTTCTAAAGTACTCTCTTCCACTAGATCCTCTAACATCTAGTATGGGCTATTAGCCCTTCCATCAGTGAGAACGCTGCTAGAAATTTGTCCTTCCAACCAGATGCCTACTTTCATTAAAATTAAAGGCATGAAAAGTTCTAGTGGAAAAATTGACTCACAGAAGAAATATAGAAAACTATGAGAGTTTTATTTTGCTTGGGAATCACAACTGTCCCAAATTTTATCATTGGAAGTTGAACAATTAGTGAGGAAATCTAATTCACCTTACAAATATATACTCTAATTTCATGTAATCACTGATGGATTACTTCAAGAATCGTTGTGGATTTGGGATGCATCTCCTGTTCATATATATCAGTCACCTCTTTATACATATGAATGGGTCCCTCAAGGCTTTGTATTGACAAAATTTCTGAGTGTTTTGCCAAATGAAAATTATTCCATAGTCCACAAAATAAAACTTCTAAGGAGGGATTATTCTTGTCTGAGCAGAAAAAAAAAAAAAGACATTATTACGAATATGAGAAGTTGCAAATTAATACTGATAATCACTTCTGTGTCAATTTGGTAGCTCTCTTAAAGTGCAAAAAACTAACTGGGAGGTTATCAGGTCTTCCTAGATAGTTCAAAGTATCCACACATTTCTAAACATGTGGGTTTTTTTAATGGAAAAGGAAAAAAACCACAAAACCACTTTGCTCTTATTTCCATATCTATTTACCAACTTATACACACTGAAACACGCGCTTGCCTGACACAGCAGCAGAGCTACCTGCAGTACTGAATTATTTTCTTTCCTTGGGAACAGAAGCTTTCTGACCTGAAACTACACTTACACTCAAACCTTTTGGCAGTGGTGCCTATTAACCAGGAGCCTGTCTGTACTCATAGAACAGCAGTTTCAGCACTGGGATAAAATGCAAGAATTCTGTCACTGAAACTTTCTAGATAAAATTATATCTGAGCTATGCACCCATCTATCAGCTCCAGAACTGTCTTACTAGATACAATATTGATAATATTCATATCTACAATCGAGAGATACATCTGGATCTAACTGGTAGATGGACTAGATACAAATTTTATCCATAAAGTACACAGCATTTACAATTTATTTTCTCTGCCTGAATGTTTGTATATTTTTAATCTTGAGCCATCCCTTGAGCCATCCATTCAAGTTACTGATATTTTTCTAATCTTTAACTTTGCCTGCAAATATTACCATAGCACAATTAATGATCTCCATAGGCTGTAGCATGTAACATTGCTTCTCACTATATTTGAAGCCCATGAATGCCCAAATTTCTTTTATTTGTTGCAAAATTTGATGAAGGGTTTGATACCTAAAGAATTGTTTTCTGTAAATAATCCATGCCTTGCATTCAGACACCAGGTTCATTATTTTTTTAAGATACACATGACAAAAGAATTTTCAGCTAATAGTTCTGTTGATTTATACTAAAAGCCATCAGTTAAAATCTCTGAATGGAACTTATTATTCAAAAACTCAAGTCCAGACATGGAATACTTCCACTAGAATTGCACAAGCTGTAAACATTACATTAAAAATAGTTAGATCTAAACAGGTCAAACAGGTCATTAGATGTCTCCCCTGCAGCTAAAGTAATATAGATTATGCTTTGTTTCTAGATAAAGCTGTTGGTTTATTTCAGCTGGGGCAAGCAATGAACATGTGCTATCCAAAGAAAAGCACACAGGAGGGCTAAAGCAGTTTCATTTTACGGGAGGTAAACTCTTCAAGAGCAGTCCCCTCCTTCTTCAGGGACTTCACTGCGGCATGTACACAAGGACAAAGCAAAGCGCCCCATTTGCTCTGTGCTTTCACTGAAGCTCGCTCACACATCAGCTGCTGTCAGGCAAAAGAGAAGAGCGGCGAGGCTGCAAAGCTCAGGATGCCCCTGCCACACCACAGCAGCCTGGGCATCCCAGGAGATGCACGGAGGAGGGAGTTTGCTGGGGAGAGCTGGAGCACAGAGGCCCAAAGCGAGGTGCCTGGACACAGCGGAGCGCGGGGCTGCCGCTCTCTTACCTTGGCTGGTGGGCTCCCCATGGCACCGAAGATGGCGGCAGCGACCGAAACCCCAATTTGGTTAACAGATCTGTCAGCTGACAAACACGCTGGCAGCTTGTTGTGCTGCTGCTGCTGCTGAAATAACCTGAAGGACACATATAATTTATACAGGCGCCGAGCTCCACCCTCTGCCTCCTCTGTGTGGAGGAGAGCCTCCTACATCTGAGAGGGAAAGATCTGCAATGTCAGAGGTGAGAGGAAAGGGTGACACTTTTAGTATTTCTCACAATTTTCTATTGCCCCAACATGCTCCCACCAGGTTTTTGGGTTGATTCTGACATGTTCAGAAAGTCTTCCTTCACTCTCACTTCTTCCACATATCTAGTCAGAAGACTAATTTTCAGTAGCTTTTAAGTTCTTCCACAAAATACTTCACCTAAATAAATAAATAAATAAATAAAAAAGCCAAAGGGAATAGTGAACCAAATCTCACCTATTACAATGTCTGGTGGGAGACCAACCCACTTCCAAGCACTCTTTTCAACTTTTCCTACAATTGGAAAAAAACTCCCAATATATTATTGGGAATCTTTCTGGAAACCAGTAAATCACGACTCCTCAACTGGAAGTGCCTACTTGACTGGCTGATCACCTGGCCAAGTGAGAGATGCTGGTGAAATTGAGATTAAATATTGGCAGAGAAAGGGAAAGCTGCATGCCTTCTGGGCTTTTTCCCTCTACCTGCTTCTTACATGAATATGAAAACTTGACATTTCCCAGCTTCCCATCCTGTTCCTCCATCAACTTGCTGTTGACAGTGCTGGGTCCTAAGGCATCCCTTAAGATAGCAGAGGCATGGCTTCCTCCACTTCTCCCATGCCTACTGTGACCTGCTGACAGGGTTCCTGTCAGGACATTGCTCCAGGCAACCTGCTCTGTCTGTACCTTAATCCACACTTGCAATTTCATGGTGTACAGACCCAGACTTGGAAAAGGCCTGGAGGCCACCCTAAGTTTTCAATAAGGTATGTTCTCACTGCGGCATAGTAATACCAGATAGGATCAAGCCTCACAAAACCCAGTGGACACCTTAAACTAATGAAGAATGTCAAGAGTTAATTTTCATCAAATAATACTTATGAATCTGGTTTTTGACAAGAGAAAAAAAATTAATTATAACCACAATAGTTGTTTAGAAAAATAGATATACCTGAAATCTTTGGCTTCAGAATTTTCATGAAAGTCAGATACACACTGTGAATCATCCACTTTGTAAAATATTTTCCACAAAAAACTGTCACCAGTTAAAATCAGTTTTAGGCAGATGCTCCTGGGCTTTTGCAAGTGACAATCAACAACTCAAATTGACATTTTGCAGACTCTGCTCTGGAAAGCAGCACCATGTTCACCACCAGTGAGGACTAGATGCACTAGGCTGAAATCTTTGAACTACTAAGAAGAAAGATATCTGAAATAAAGGTCTGGTACATCAAAGAGCAGTTACAAAGCTCAGGGGAAAATCAACCAAAACTCATTTGAAAGCAATGTGGAGTTCAGAGCAATTAACTGTGCAAGCCTGCAGGACTCCTGTAGTAACACTGTTTTAACAGCCTCACTTGGGCATTTTCATAGGATCAGTTAAGACTGCAGTGCACACACTTCTTGCTTCCTTGGACACAGGAGTCTGTAACATCCCATTTCCAGAAACAAGGAAAAAAGCTCTTATTCAGAGAGGAGTCTTGGTTTTCCACTTTTGTACTGCTGTTTCAGTTTTGATCAGACAGTCTGCTGCTATAGTGAGCTGAGAGACCAAAGCAGTACATGGACAAATTTACCTCCTAAAGAGAAGGCAAGTGGAAACCAGCCAGAGAACAATGAACTCCTCTCAAAGAGTGGTATGTCTGCCTGGAAACAGAGCAACACATTAATAGCAGAACAGCTGTTTTAATGCAGGGACACCCATGTCTTAATGGAACAGGAAAGAAGAAAAAAGCTCCCAGAATGCTTTCAAATAAAGGTGCAAAAGTTATTTCGGAGAGCTATGAAAATAATTTTTCCAATAACCCCTCCAAGAACTTAATGTTTCCAGTAAATGAGCATGGCCAAAATACATAAAATGTTTTGTGTTTCTTGTCAAAAAGCATGCTGACAACTACTACATCCATTTCCTCCTGGACATCAGGGAGATGGACTATGTGACATCAGGGTTTGCTGCAGACATTAAAAATGTACAGCATGTGGAAAGTAAGACAAAGTCAACTGCGTAAGGAAGGAACAACAAAACTAAAAGGCTAAACCTGAAGCAAAGAGGGCACAGCAGAATATGTCAGTGAGCTAGATAATAACCAGGCAACAACCTCAAGATGGTACAGAAAGTCCTGCCCCTCCCCTTTTTAGAGGGAGGACATTGTCATGCCAGGCTTCTACTAGTGGAGTTAGACTCAGAAAATATGATACTGTACCTGCAGCAACAGATTGTAAAATACAGTTCAGGCAATAAAGAGAAGAGCTATTCTAGAAAGATTTTACTTGTTAATTAAGACAGTCTCATTCCACATTTGTGACTGAATCTCACTTCTTTTCCAAACTACTATTAAGAAAGTACTTGGAAATAAGCTGGGGTGGGGGAAGAGATAAAAAGACATACCAAATTACACTGAGGTTAAATTGGTTCATACTCTACCTGTTGGCATTTGGGTAATGCACACAAGAGACTGTGAAACAAAATCAGAATGGAAGGACTGCAAGCCCATGCTGCAAGCTCAGCATGAAAGAAATGAAAGTCAATTAATATAGCGTTCAGCTACATGCAATTTACCCAGTGGGCTGCTCACTAACTGCCCCTTGCAGGAAGCTACTGAGCTGCCAAAAACCAAGCAGCAGAGTGGCAGCAACTCCAAATGATTGTGAACTGGACTATCCTACTGGTGGCATAAGCTGAAAAGCTACCAGGGACAGAACCTACAAAAGATACAGAAGTACAGAAGTTTAATTCAGTGAAGATGATTATTTGCCCCAGCAATGGCACTGCAAAATTTCAAACTCAGCTTTGGTGTACAAAAACTGCCTTTACTGAGGCACTGTCTTCCGAGTCCTCCCACCCTTGGTCCCAGCAGCTTCACGAGGAAGAATGGCAATTAGCAAAGCACACTCCTATAAATACAAACCTCCCATGACTTTGTTTCAGAAAAGATTTTCATTCATTCCATAAAAACTTTTAAATAGAGATAAGTGATGGCTCTTTCTAGCCCTAGATGCAGCCACACCACTGAGTAGGTGGAGGTGGAAGACTGCGCATTTTGCGATGTATTGTTTTGCCAGACAGAGACAATGGGAGATAACAGTCACTTTTTTTTGCCTCATAAGTCAGTTTATAGCTTGTTTAGCTCAGTGGCTAGGTCAGGAAAATTACAGTTACCTAAGAAAATAAATGTGTATAGTCAAATTCAAACCACATTTTTTAAAATGTTCTCAGAAATTGAGAAAAAAAGTATTTTTTTCCCTAGCTCATCCCAAAAATATTTTTTCCATATTTGTTTTCTTTAGCCACTGTAAAAAATTAATCCAAACAAAACCAAAAACTTTATTAAAATATATCTCAATTTTTCAATTCAAAATTACCATGTGAAACTAGGAGCTATGAAGCACATTTAGGACATGTAGCATTTAACTTTGAAATAAAAGCTTTATAATTTTTCACAGTTTCCCCCTTGCCCCATTCTAAGCAAACAACATAGCCATTCTGAAATTATTTTAGATCTTTGAATACTTTCCGAACAACCATTTTTAGTACCTGCTGTTAATGAGAACAAAACTACAGGTTGTCTATCTGAGCAGCAATCATTTGTAAATGAACTGTCCTTCTGGCTATCAAGATCCAGTCCTGTTTCAGAAAAGTAAAAGGTGCTATATCCTCTTACCTATCTCCTGAACCACTGTTATCTTAAACAAAGACTTCATACAGTAAATCCAGTATCACTGGCTCTTTTTCCTGGCCAGAGTAAGGGAGCTACTAATTTCCTTAGGTGCTTTGCAGGTGTGGTTGTAAATATGGCAAGATAGTGATCTTTGCAGCTTCACCATGGGAGGAAGCTGCCTATTACTTACCTGGGCTATCTGAGGACTGCAGTGTTACCTTTCCAAGACACGTCAATGTAAGCCACACATTGAAACCTACTGTGTTTATGCTTAGAAATTGTTCTTTTATTTTAAACCAAGCGATTGCAGAGCATCTAATTGAAATAATAGTTGAGTAAGACATTTCAATGTCATTCCACTCAAGCCAGTTTCTGAAACCTTTATCTTTAGATCTTATTCAAATAGTCTGACACTGATGTCAGTATAAAATTGCTTGTGCAAAGACCTCAGAAGAGTTAGGTAAGTATTTCACTTCACCACTTGGCTGACAGGAACACTTGACTTATGGTTATGGTATTCAGCTTCAAATTATCACGAAAAGGGTTTCCTTCAAGAGGTAGGGTTGCCACCAACCTCTTGTATTTATTTAATGGTCACTTTTTTAGAATCAAGAGAGTAACTCTTGCTTTCTGTTATTGCTTTTCAGTCTCTATGACTACATATTCTTTGGGGCAGGATCTACTAAGGACATGTTTGCTACTGAAAGTTATTATACTGGGCAAGAGTAATTAAAACATAAAGGTTGCAGTGATTGTATGACACATACAGCAGCATTTCCTTTCTGTTTCTGTCCAATTCTCTTTCAACTCTGTATGTGGGTTTTTTTCAAGGTCCAACCTTTATCTGAGCATAACCCTTAGATGCTGGCTGAGAAAGAAATAAAATAGATACAATAATTTATTTCAAATAATATGGAAGTCATTAAGGGTTCAACTTATGCATTCCTGCCAGTTACTCATTGTCTAAGAAGCCCTTCAAAAATAGCAAGACTAAAATAGTAGCAGGCATCCTCACTGTGCTATTCTGTAGGTTGGTATTGCCAATGGGTAGGCTTCTTAACTAAAGCTAGCATCAGCCAACTAGCCAAAGCTAGTCCTGGCCTAGGTAATCTGGAAGACCTT